TCCCTACACAGACCAGCGTGTAACAGGCCGGTGTGGTGGGAGCCCCTTAGCTTGGGGATCAGCAAAGTGTTCACTCCCAGTCAAGGTCCCACAACATGCGCTCAGACCAAACACTCCAGCTCCGCCGTCCCTGCCTGGCATCAAGACAGGATTTACCAAACTGCCTCAGCCTCTGGTGAGTGTCCTGTGCCTCCCAGAGACAAGCTACTCCAGACACTGGATGGCCTCTTCAGAAGAGCTTCTGAGCAGAGAACCCTCCCTCACCAGGGCTCTCTGGTCTGCTGGACGCGGCGGGGCTGGGGTCAAGGACGACCCTGGAAACAGTGCTTGGCAGTGCTCAAAGGAAAAGCACTGTCCAAGGCTGGTAGATGTGTACATCGGGCAATGTGTCCACAAGGGGAGGAGGAAAACGACACAGGAAGGGAAAGAAACAAAAGCCACAGGAGAACAAGGGATCCAGGCAGGAATGGCCACCCCTCAACAGCCACAGAGACCCTCCCCAGAGCAGTCAACTAGCTTCTTTTCAGAACCAAACAGCGCTCAGGGACCTGTTTTCAGAGCCTTGGTTGTCAGGAGGAGTAGGTACTGGAGGGCTGCTGCCAGCGGGGCTGGAACAAGTCTTGGGTGGGACAGGACAGCATGGCCAGGGGACTAACCAGGCGCTAGTGTGGTTGCTGAGATGAGCAGACAGACAAGGAGCCAGCACTCGGATCACAGAGGCAGGGAGCCAGGAAAGTCAGTGGATGGGCAGGGCACCCCCAGTTCCCTGGGGATGACTGTGCAGCCCATCAAGCAAGTCCAGAGAGGCCCCCCCACCGTCCTCCTCCCTGCTGCCTGTCCCTGCGGGAAGCTGACAGGTTACCAGGGCAAAGACAGACTGCTGAAGTCAACTTTCACCCACTTCCTCTGCTGCCTGGGTGGGGGAAAAAGGCTATCCTCAAAGGTCTTGAAGAATTCCCAAGAATCTTTTCTTCCAGGATACCCTCGTAATGCCCCAAGCCACCAAGTCACGGAGGGCCCAGGGAAATCGTCTGTCCAACCTCCTCGTGTCACAGAGAGAGAAAGTGATGTCCAGAAAGGGAAACAACTTGCTCCAAACCTCAGAGTCAGGCCTCAAGCCCAAGCCTTCTGACTTGTCACCCCCCACCTCACACAGGGTGCCCACTAAGGCAGGAGGCAGGTGCAACACTCCAGCCTCACTGCCAAAGCCGCAAGCCACCGTGTCCCTAAGGAAAGGGTTCGTTGCCCAGGAGCCTGACCTGCCTGTATCTAACGGCCAGCTGGAGAACACCACTGACTGCCCAGCTCTCACGGCAGAGAGCATGAGCCCTCAGACCAGACAGCAGCCTTACCTCTCCTTTTGTGTGATCTTCAGTTTTTTTTCCAACCGTCTGTCTATTTCCTAGAGGAAAAAAATGTATATAAAAAGTGGAAAAAAATCTCTCTCAAATAAAAACTTACGTCTTTATTTTCAGAGCTAAGGGCAGTGTCCTTTCTGACCAGGGACATTACTGTGTCCTTTGAAGTAACGGATGCAGCCCTCCCTTTATGGGACTCCGGGATCTGGGGCCCTGACTCCCTGCACGTTCATCTCCCTCCATCCCTGTGGCTGTGGTGAGAGTTCTAGACCTCATCATTCAGCTGGGTTCTTTGCACGGCCTCCAACTAGTCTCCTGGTCACCAATCAGTCCTTCACAGAGCTAGTCGTAACAACTTTCCAAATGTAAGTCTGACTGTGTCACTTCCCCACTTAAAACACTTCAACTGCTTGCCGGATCCAGTCCAAGCTCCTAAGCATGCCTCGCCCACACATTCCCTTAGCTTCTGTTCCTGTGCTACACCACAGCAAAACCGAACTGTGGCAACCCCCAGAACCCAGAGTGCTGATCTGCCTGCTTGCAATCTCCGCCTCCTTGCAAACTCCCATTTATCCTGCAAAACCCAGCTTGAATGTCCACCTCTTCTTTCTGAAGTCTTCTTTGATCCCATATAGTTAATCACCTGCTCCTCAGACATAAGCTCTCCGTTTTACATTCCTTCATGATAATATGTGTCACATATTTTATGATCTATTTTTCTTACTCGTATGGACTTGAACTCTGTGAGTAGCACCTAGCAAAAGGCCTAGAACAAAACAGAAGCCTAACGTCTGTGGAACTGGATGGAAGTCAGAGTCCTCAGGCGCTCAGCACCAGGAACTCCTCCACAGCCTCGTGTACGAGGCTCCATGCACGGGACAGGGAAGCTGTGCACAGAGCACAGCCCAAACCTCCAGGCTCCTTGGCTGTCCCACTGCTTTTTCTTAAAAAACGTTCCACCAACCTGCAAGGGCAAGACCATCCAGCCACTGGATTATGCAAAATTATGTATTTCCCTGGAGAGTAGATATATAACAGTGGTTCTCAACCAGGGGTGACTCTGCCCACCAGTACGTGTGGCAACGTCTGGAGACATTTTTAGTTGTCATTACTGGAAGGGAGCTGCTACTGGCATCTAGTGGGTTGACCCCACGGATGCCACTAAAATCCTACAATGCACAGAATAGCCCCACAGCAAAGAATTATCTAGCCCCAAATGTCAACAGTGACAAGGCTGAGAAACCCTGACTTATAGGATGGATGGGATTTTCAGAGGAGTCTGTTACTTGCAGAATGTTAAGGATGACTACCTTAGTGAAAAGTTTTTGAAATTTGCTGAGCTCCATCTCAGAGCCCCGCGTATAGCTAGTTTTCACAAGTGCTCTGTACTTCCTGTGCAGTTCAAGCTGGTTGTAACCACACTATTCAACTCTTGTACATTCTTACTGATTTGTTTGATCTGCGGACTCTACAGAAAGAATCAAGACTTAATCCTTCTAGTACATTAAAGTTTGTCATTGTGAAGTAATCTTCTTTACCTTAAACTCTATCATTTCACATTAATAAAGCTATGCCAGTTTTTTTTTTTGGTTAGTATCCCCTGGAATATGTTTTCCTCTCTTACTTCTTGTCTCTCCATGTCCTTATTTTTGTTTCCTGTAAGCAAGAGGAAGCTAGCCTAACCATGTGAAGCTGAATTTAAATCGAGTCTGACACTGACACTCATTATGATTGATGCTGAGTTGTGTTTAAAATTTTTTGTTTTTATGAAAGACCCAAAGTATATTTAGGCAAGCACAACAAACTGTATTCTGAGGGCACCATCAACTCTCTGGAGGGGGTAGGAAGCCACAAGAACAAAAACCTCTCACTCAAGCATGGAACACAAGTTGGCACCCAATGGCTGTTTAATGACTGAATAGAAAGGGTGCATGGAGGGTAAGAGAATGACCTACATGTTTTCTGTGAACAGACAGACATGCACTCAAAGAGAATCTATGCCACAGCACAGTCAGTAATGTAATTCTTCTGAATTTTTGGATTAATAACAGTGTTACTGCCTGAGTAAATACTGTTGTTTCCCATTAGTCTAATGCCCACTACCTTTCATGGGCTTTTCACAAATAACGTGCAGCTTTAAAATTCCACACTCTCTCATTCTGCTCCAATCTGAAGAGGAGACTTCCTATTCAAGTTTCTCCATCATAAATGCAAAGGTTTCACATCTGTGGGATTTAGGTGTCTTCAAATGGTCAAAATCAAATGCCTCCACAGGCGGGCAAGTAACCAAACTCCATATGCAGGCCGCACAGTGAGGGGGTGAGGGGCTGTGAGGCACCAAAGAACACTTGTTCCCCCTACAGACAGGCAGCCAAGCCCTGGATGACAGGGCCAGGGCTGCTATTTTAGGAGATTTTTATGGGAAAGCTCTAAATTTTTAAACGTCATTATATGAACTCTGGCTTTCATATCTCCTTAAGGGCCAAATAAGACATAAGAGGCAAGTGGGCCTGACACGTTAGCTGATTTTTTAAAACACTGTGGAAAAATACACATTACAGTGGCTGAATTTGAGAGGTCGTATCCGGGTTTCCTCTCAGGAAGGCAAACTGCTTCCTTCTTTCTCTAGGGCCTTAGGGAAGATGGGGAATCTGCCCAAGCCCAGCAAATACAGCTCGGGTGGAAAGAAGCCTTTCAAGAGGGCATACGGACTATAATGCTTAATGGCTGTCAATACACTCCCAAATGCTCATTTTCTGGCACACCAACTCTGTTTGATAAAGTGTAGCTTGTATCCGTCTCTGTCAGATGAGGGCAAGCTGCTCAGGGAGGTTAAGGAACTTAACCAAGGTCACAAGGTGTACATCATGGAGGCAGCCCTAGAACTACGGCCTCTGGAGGCCCTGTCCCGTGCTGCCACACCCCTAAGAGTGCTCAAACCCTTGGAAATGATGCTAGAGTCATTAGATATTGACCCCCTCTTCCATATAGCCCCTGAATCCTACACTGCTCCCTGGCACTCCAATAACTAATACTCCCATCAATTTCCATCGCGTCGGACAGGATGGTTTATCAGAGTTGAAGAATTCTTCTATCAGATGAGAGGACAAGATATGAACCCGACAGCTCTGGTGGAAAGCGGATCCTGGCCATCTCCAGATGGCCAGCTGTACACCAGCATGCTCAGAGCCGTCCAAGCAGGAGAGGGGTGCTCTGCCAGCAGCTGGAGAGGGCACTGCATCTCACTCTGGACTCTGTCCAGGTATCATGAGTCAGTCCATTCTCTCCTTGGACAAGGCTTTGCAATCAATCTGCTCTCAGACTCATGCTCTGAAGAGCTAGACCAAGTGGAAACTTTCCTACAGGGTGCACTACAAGGAGAATGCTTGTCTCCTCCAGAGATGCAGTAGCCCAAAGGAATTAAACAGGCCTCAGAATGTGTGAGGAAGCATCTAGATGTGGGCCCCAACAAAGAATCTAGTTATCTAAGGGCACCTTCTCTTTTTAAAAGGATGCACAGAGGCCCGGCCTAAGGTCAAGGCTCCAGTGTTAGAGGACCAAGGACTTCTGTGTTAGTGAAAGAAACCCATAAGCTCATCACTTTATAATTCAGCTCTGAGTGAGGAAGCGTCACCGGGACACAAGGCAAGTTTTAGGGGATAAGCAATCAGAGGAGAGGTGTTAAGAAAGTTTGATTTCCTATGGCTTCTCCTTCCAGAAAAGCTCTCTGTTTGTCAAGTAGCATTGAAGAGACTCCAGAAGATGATGCTCTCTGCTAAGTGGGGTGGCCTCCTCTCTTTGGGTCAAAATTCTAAACAAAAGATCTCTTGTTACCGAGCACAGGTATCACTTCTCCTGTGGAGCTACCCCTCTACAAAAATGAGGTACATGCTTCTTGGTCTGAGAGAACAAGCGAAACCATAAAGAAAGCAAGCATGGGGGCAGGAGGTCATGAAGAGCCACAGTGGGGAGCAAGGTGGTTCTGGATGGGCTCGTCCTCATGGGAGGCAGAGGGGAGGCCACAGCCACAGCCACCGGGTGAGCGACACAAGACATCAACATCTGCAAACTCAGCTCACCCAGGGAAGCAGCACAGCTTCACTGGCTGCCGAGGACCTTAGTCTTGCAATGATTATGCTCACGTGAACCTCCAGCAGAGAGCTGGGAATGGAAGCGTGGGACGGGAGGAGATGCCTCAAAGAGCCTAAGCCGTGACCCAGCCACAACCTTCAAAAGGAGCAGAGGCAACAAAGAGGACCAGGATGTATGTGCAAGGGCAGGCAGACTACAGTGAGAGCCTCACTCCTGTAACACTGAGGTGCATGAGAAAGGAAAAAAGAAAAGTGAGAAGGTAAGAGGTGAGGAAAAAAAGGCAGAAGAGAGAAACAGATAGGTTATTCTGGGCCTTGGTGCAAAGTACAGCAAGTACAGCACCATTACAGCTTACTGTCCCAAAAAACAGACTTTATCAGCTCACCTAGGGATGGTGAAGCTGACTCATACTAGCCACACTCGCAGGAGACAGAGTGAACAAACCCCAATCCTGATCTGTTACACTAGAGGAGGTGGGAGGAGGTGTCCTGTCCTTTCCGGAGCCTGACCTCTGGCTACCAGGTCCCCAGGGCCCCCACCGCACCGTGTCCTGCTCCACCACAGCACCCCTCTCGCTGATAACCCAAATCCTCTGGTCACCAATGCAGCCAGCACAACTCCAAAGAATCCAAGTAATCTTGTATTGAATGGAGGTCTAAGAGGTCTTGGCTCTGAGTTAGGAAATAACATCTTTTTATCAGCAACAGTTACTATTTAAGTGACTTTTCCGGGGCAATTTGCCTCTCTTTGTCGGTTTCCATTTCAGAAGAGGATCTTTTCTGATTTTCCTCTCAGATTCAAGGAATAATGACTGGTCTTGGGCTCCCTGTGAACCACTATGCCCTACAGGCTCATCTGGTCTCGTCCAGCTATCCCAAATTGGGGAGCACATATCTACAAGCAGACCACTGGGGGGATCTGAAGAGACAGGAGTCCTGAAAGTACAAGTGTT